TGCTGCTGCTGCTGCGCTGCTGCTGCTGCTGCTGCTGCTGCTGCTGCTGCTGCTGACCTGGACGAGCTGCGTCAAGTTGGAAACGTTGGCCTTGTTGACGAGTCCGTTGATGCTTTTGCGGAGAGCTTCCCACATTTGGCGCTGGTAGGCGTGGCTTTTGCTGTCGCTGGTTTGCTGCTGCAGCCGCGCGAGCTTGAAGGGCGGTACGTACACCCCGCCTGCGCGAAAGCGCAGCAAAAGCGGCTTTTTGGAGTTCTAATTAATCCTAAAACTCTTTTATTTATTTATTTTAATTATTTTCGCGCTTTTATTTCCTTTTTGAGCCTTCAAACCGCAAAAATCCGACAAAAAACAAACCCGCCACACGCGCGCATGTCCGGTGTACGTACACCTCACGGCTGCGCACGCAGCGCCCCGCCGCGCACGCTCCTGCGGTGTACGTACACCTCAGCAGCAGCAGCAGCAGCAGCAGCTGCTGCTGCTGCTGCTGCTGCTGCTGCTGCTGCGGCTGCTGCTGCTGCTGCTGCGGCTCACCAGCTCTTCCGATGTCTTCTGCCGTCACTTTTCTTATTTTCCGCGCAGCATATTCCGCCACGTCTTTGTCCACAGCAGCAGGAGCCCCGTCTGCTGCTGCTGCTGCTGCTGCTGCAGCAGCAGCAGGCTTCCTGCTGCTTCTGCCGCGGCCCGCTGCTGCGCTGCTGTCGCTGCTGCTTCCTCCCCTTCCAGGGCCCCGCAGCCGCCCCCTGCTGCTGCTGCTGCTGCTGCTGCGGCTGCTGCGGCTGCCGCGGCGCTCCCCTCGCCACCTTGCTTCTCGACCCCCTGCTGCTGCTGCTGCTGCTGCTGCTGCTGCTGCTGCTGCTCTCCTGGGGGGGGATTCTCTTGCTGCTTTTATTGCCCTCTGAAAGGCCCTTCTCGCCCCCTGGTTGTGCTGCGCAGCAGGGCGGCCCCTGCTGCGCCTCACGCTGCTGCTGCGGCTGCTGCTGCTGCTGCTGCTGCTGCTGCCGCTGCTGCTGCCGCTGCTGTCGCTGCCGCTGCTGTCGCTGCTGCTGCTGTCGCTGCTGCTGCTGCGGCGGCGGTGGGCCCCCGTCTCGCCCAACTCCCTCTTCACTTTGACAGCAGCAGCAGCAGCAGCTGCTGCTGCTGCTGCTGCTCCTGCTGCTTCGTCTCTCTCTCTTTTCCTCGACGCGCCCCTCGCGTTCCCGCTGCTGCTGCTGCTGCTGCTGCTGCTGCTGCTGCTGCCCTCCGTTCCTCCTCTTTCTCTGTCTCTCTCCCTTTGTCTTTCTTTTTCTGAATTTCTGAATTCATTTATTTCTTTATTTCTTTCTTTATTTATTTCTTTATTTGTTTCTTTATTTAATTCTTTATTTTTATATTTATTTCTGTCTTTATATCTTTCTCTTTCTGCCTCCCTGTGGGCCTCCCTGCTGTCCACGTCCATGCGCGAGGGGCCCCCCAGCCTGCTGCTGCTGCTGCTGCTGCTGCTGCTGCTGCTGCTGCTGCTGCTTCTTTCGTTTGCATGTCTGCTAAAATAACTATTTCTATTTTTATTTAAATCCTCATTTGCATGCAAACTTCTTCTTCTCAAATCGAAATCGCCTTCGCGCTCTCTCCTGCTTCCGCGGGCTGCTGCTTCCCCCTGCTGCTGCTGCTGCTGCTGCTGCTGCTGCTGCCGCTGCTGCTGCTGCTGCTCTCGCTCTCGATAGCTTCTGTCTCTGTCTCTGTCTCTGTCTCTTTCTCCCCTCTCTTCATATCTTTCTCTTCTTTCTCTTCTTTCTTTTTCTTTTTCTTTTTCTTTTCTTTCTTTTTCTTTTTCAAATCTTTCTCTTCTTTCTCTGTCTCCTCTTTCTCCATATCTGTCAAAGTCTCTTCTTTCTTTTTCTTTTTCTTTTTCTTTTTCTTTTTCTTTTTCTTTATTTCTGTAAAAGTCTGCACTTGTGTTTTTTTCTCTGTCTTTTGAGCGGCCCTGGTCTGCGCCTTCGCCCCTCCTTGCTGCTGCTGCTGCTGCTGCTGCTGCTGCTGCTGCTGATTCTGCTGCAGCAGCAGAATGGCGCTCGTCGTACTCGCTCTTTACCATTCTGCTGCTGCGCGGGGCCTTGCTGCGGCTGCTGCTGCGGCTGCTGCTGCGGCTGCTGCGGCGGCGCTGGCGGCTTCCCGACCCTGCTGCTGCTCCTGCTGCTGCTGCTGCTGCTGCTGCTGCTTCCCTCTTGCGGCCATCTGCGGCCTCTCCCTCTCCCCGGCGAGACGACAGCCGGTCTGTCGCCATTCTCCCTTCTGCTGCTGCTGCTGCTGCTGCTGCTGCTGCTGCTGCTGCTGCTCGGTGAGCAGTCTAGAGAGGCCCAAGTGGCCTCTCAAGCCCTCAGACTGAGGCGGAGCGGAGGCGCAGCAGAAGCTGCTGCTGCTGCTGCTGCTGCAGGAAGCAAAGAGCAGCAAATGGGCATATCGGGCTGCTGCTGCTGCTGCTGAGGCTTCAGATCCAGGGGGAAGCTGGGGAGGAAGCAAAGGAAATAATGCAGCAGAAGTGCAAATTAAAGAATAAAAATGAAAATAAAGAATAAACAAGTTAAGAAAATGCTTCGCGGGAAAAGAAAATTAAAAAAATGGCGAAGACGAAATGCTGCATGGGCTGAGAGTTCAGTCCAGCAGCAGCGGCGCTGCAGAGCAGCAAAAAGAAGGCAAAGTTCAATTTAAGAGACTTTAAGGGACTTTTGGAGAATTTGAATTTAATATTTGAAATTAATTCCGAAATTTACCGACAAAAACGCCCAAACTTGCTTCTTCAAGAGCTGATCAGCGGCAGCCGCAGCCCCGTGGGGTTCTGCATGCAGGGCTTCTCCCGGGGAAAAAAAGATCCATTATTTGCTAAGTTTCGCTTTTATTTTCATAATTATTCAAAAAAATAAATAAAGTGATGGACCAACGAGCGAGATCAGGTGCTGCGAGGCTCGCGAGCTGTCTAGACACCCGAAACGGACTCCGGGCGACTGCTGCAAATGCGCTCTTTTTGGCTTTTTAGTTTTTTCTTTAATTGCACTTTTAAATTAAAATAAAATAAAAGGCATTTAATTCTCATTTGTTTTGTTTTGAAGCTGAAGATCGGAGGCTACAGCGTGTCAGTGCAGCCCTCCTCTCCCAGCCGCTTTCCTCGAATGCGCTTGTGAATCTGGGGTCCATTTTGTTCTTTTTTTTGAATAAAACTCGAAAATAAACCATTTAAATGCAAATACTTGCTTTTTATACTTCCTGGAGTACTTCAGAGAGGTATTCAGGCAAATTAAAGGGAATTCAAGTTTCCCCCTTCTGCCGGGAAGCTGGCCAAGAGTGCAGGAAAATAGAACTGTGGAGATTCCCGCGAATACAAAAAGCAAAAAAGAATAAAAAGGAAATAAAGGAATGCAAAATAAAGCAGCAGCAAAACTCCATTATTCCATTTCACGAACTTCAATTCAAATTTTCAACTTTTCCCCGACCCTCCTTTTCAGCTTTCTGCACAACAGCCGCTCTCCCTGCTCCCCCAGTGGTCCACCAGTGGTCCACTAGTGGTCCACTGGTCTCTAAAAAGTAAAAAAGCTGCAGCGCCACAAATCTGCAAAAGTTGAATTGAAGTGCTGCTGCTGGGGTTGAGGTGTCTGTACACCTGAGCTGCGCTGCGGCTGCGCGTTCGAAAGAGCTTTTTTTCATTTCTTTTTATTAAAATAATTTGGTGGAATTTCGTTTAGTTGAAAGACTAATTAATTCTGAAAGTCTGTTGCAAGGCCAATGGGACATTTAAAAGTCCTTGAGGGGGATTTATCTTCTCCGTAAATGTGAAAAAAGAAAAGCATTTGAAAATTTATTCTTTTCTTTGAAAAAGAAAAGAATAAATTTTCATTTAAAAAGACGAATTTAATTTAATTTATTGTCGAGAGGGCCCTAAAGTTCCAAACCTCCTTTTTCCTTTTTTGAATTTGATAATTAAATAGCAATAATTGAATTTAAATGAACAAAAATCCGGAAATAAATAAATAAATAAATAAGCAAACAACTTTAAATAATTAATTCACTAAAAGAGAAATAATAAAAGTTTTATTCTTTCCGCAACTGCGGCGAAGTGCTCGCTGAGGTGTCTGTACACCCCACGCTGAGGTGTACGTACACCCCACGCTGAGGTGTACGTACACCCGGGCGCTGCGCGCCAACTGGAAAAGCAATTAGCCTTTAATCACTTTTATAATACTTTCCATTTGCGGAGAAACTGAGAAGACAAAAAGGACTCAGCCTCAAATGCATTCTTTTGCAAAAAGAAGAAAAACAATTTTTTGGTTTTTTATTTCATTCAACGAAAAAGAAAGAAAAATAAATAATTTTATTTAATGAAACAGAAAAGAAACTGTAAATTATTTTATGAGAAAAAAAGAGAATGGAAAGAAAATAAATAAAAAGAAAATGAAAGAAGAAAAAAAAGAAAACAAATTCAGCGTCTAAATATGAATTAACAACTAACAATTAAATTGAATTAACTTATTTGTTTTCTAAACATAAAAACGAATTATTAACCAAATTAAATCAATTTATTTGTTGTCTAAATTAAAATTTGAATTAAATTAATTTATTTTCCAAAATTAAATTCAAAACTGAATTAAATTAATTTATTTTTCTCACTCAAAAGCTCCGTCTCCCCCATGGACTGCGGCAGCCGAGTGGCTCCTGCAGCAGCGCAGCAAAACAAAAAAAGAAAAAAGTTTTTAAAAGAATTTGATGGAATAAATGAATTAAATGAAGCATTTGAGGAAATTAAATGAATTAAATGGATTAAATGAATTAAATGAAGCATTTGGGGAAATTAAATGAATTAAATGAATTTTTACTTCGTAAACCCCTTTAATTTACTTAATTTACTTAATTATGAAGCATTTGAGGAAATTAAATGAATTAAATGGATTAAATGAATTAAATGAAGCATTTGGGGAAATTAAATGAATTAAATGAATTAAATGAAGCATTTGGGGAAATTAAATGAATTA